ATGGGAGCACAATACTTTGTTCATGTCATGCTTTTATTAAACATTTAAAAAGTTTATCAAATGTGACGCATATTATTTGAACTATTTATATTATCTATATCAATTAAATCTTTATCTCTTAGAATAATATAAGATAGTTTGTTAATGTATGTAATGATATTCGTAAGTAAATTGAAGAGGTGTAGCGTTTGCTGTAGCGTCGTGTGTCGTATGTTCAAAGTTCGGTTGACATTTGAACGTCAGTAGATAGTCGCTTGCATTTGTGTCTGTTTCTCTCACACGTTACTTGTATATCGTTTAAACTATTTATAGAGTGCAATATAAGGTTTTTATTCACGAAACATAATTGTATCAAACCCTAAAATATATCCGAGAGTCACGAACACAACATCATCAGTGACATATCTAATATTCAATTGGAGTAAATTACAAAATAATACTTAAAGTTATGGAATATATCTCAGGATGTTTCTAGCAAGTAACGCGTTGTAAAATTTACTATCTATACTCTTAAAATTTAGAATTAAGTCCTGAATTAAGAGAACTATTCTATTTCAAAGGAATAGAATAATTGTCTTACTTTGTTTCGATAGTACGAGTATTTGAATCGCAATTGTAGCAACATTATTAGTGTTAGTTGTAATAGAATTATAATAACATTGTAATGGAATATATTCTATGTAGTGGTGTAAAGTACGTACGTATTCAAAACATATTCAGTGATCGAATAAACTTGTTACAACCAACATGCTGCTGTTTCTATTCGCGTCACAAATACATTTTTATTAGCTGAAGCATTTCTCGATGCTCAGCGATTTCATAATAAATGTTTACACATACACATATATATATATATTTCAAAGTTTATAGACAAAATATGAAAAATGTTACCGTTTTATTTTTAGCGCAACTTAAAACGTTTTCTATGTTCCATTTTCGTCATAAAAAGAAAACATTTTGTTACTCGACTCGTGTTTATTTTTAATTTATAGTGGAGACTAGATGTGATGTATAACGTGCAAGTAAAATTCCGGCTTAATCGTATGAATTACAGTTTAAATTCAATAAGCGAGGAGCGCGTAGGGGGTCGCGTCCCACCTGTAGGGTCGAAGGTGTGGGGGGGGAAAGGCCGCCGGCGGCAATTAGTCAAATTAGCGAGGGCTTCGTATTTGGGCAGGTCCGGCGGCGGGGGCTCACCCCACGCTCACTGAAATAATTGTAATTTTCCTCAGAAACAATAAAATTTCTTATTTTCTCGAGTCTAAATTGTAAGAGACAGTGTTCAAATCTGCGGTTACCTCATTGAACTATGGAACACTGTAGGGCTCACGGTGCGGGTCAAGACGAGCGCTCCAGCAACGAGGGCTTTCACGTGAAGTGTAGAGCAGGTCGGATAGAGTCCTTATCGGTCCTCACCACTTACCAGTCTTTTCTATCTTAAGAGGAAGTAAGACAATGGCTTTGTGTCTTCGGATATATTGTTGCATATTACTATAAAGTTTAGCTCGATCCAACAACACAAGACAGGAGACTGTCGCACTCCAAGTAAGTAGTACGCGCTCATACTTAATTTGTTATTGTTACTTTCTGGTGATTTATGATTAAAAATATCTCATCGCGACGCAAATGATGAGCCGAATAAGAAGTTGAATAATTTTAACACGTTATAAATATGAAATCAAGATCGTTATATATCAATGTGATAGCTCAGTCACTGTGCTATAGCCGCTTCCAGGTATTAGAAAAAAAAACGTTTTTACATCAACGTACCCTTTCAATTTAGGGAGTTCGTGCGAACACAAAGCGTGTACGCGACGCGGGCTAACAAGACGCGAGGGCGAGGGGTCGCGGGGAAGCGAGGC